GTGGTTCATGAAACTCGCCAGACATTGAGTTAAACAGTCACTCATAAGTTCTGCAGTGCTACGAATTGACAAGCCAGCACCTTGACTGTGTGTTGAGAGTTAAGAGGAATGGGGTTCCATGGGCGAGCAGCTGCCCAGAATCCAAACATTTCACCTGTGAATGCTAAGCGCCACCTAAAGTGGTGTAAAGAGCAATGCCACCGGACAGTGGACAACTGGAAACGTGTGATTTGGGGTGATGAATCACGCTATACCATGTGGCAGGCCAATGGGAGTGTTTGGATATAGTGAATGTCTACCAGCATGTGCAGTGCCAGGGTGAAATTTGGAGGAGGTGGCATTAAAGTGTGGGGCTGTTTTTCATGGAATGGACTTGGCCCTTTTGTAATACTGCATGGAGTTTTAAATGCAGAAGGATACAAGGACATTGTGACCCGTTGCATACCGTCTATGATAGAAGACCAGTTCAGTGATGATTGTCTGTATCAACATGACAGTGCTCCCTGCCATAAAGCAAGGTCTGTGAAGGACTGGTTTGTGGACATTTATGTTCCAGAAATGGGCTTCTCAGCCCAGAGTCCTGACTTGAATCCTGCAGAACATCTGTGGGATGAATTAGAATGCCAACTTCATTCCAGACCCCAACACCCTTACATCACTAATTGCTCTGGCTACAGCTCTGCAGGAAGAATGGGCTGCCATTCCACCAAAGATGTTCAGACACCTGGTAGAAAGTCTTCCTGGCAGAGTTAGAGCTGTTATAAAGGCAAAGGGTGGACCCACCATGTATTAATGTTCACAACTGGGAAATGTGTCACAGAAGAGGTTGGATTACAGTTTAGAGTAGATGTCTGGATACTTTTGATCAGAGAGTATTTTTGGTTCTAAATATTAAATGAACATGGCAGCTGTCTGATTCATTACCAGACAGTGATTGTATTTATGACTGGACCCCCAAGTATTTCTCTTTTGTTTTTTCTCCTTTGGCATGCAGTTTTTGGACACTTTTTAACAAGAATGTATTATACGAGGGTGAATCAAATGAAAACCATAAACATTTTTTTATTTAATTTATTGAATGAAAGCGGCACACAACTATATCCTTCTTCTACATAGTCTCCATTTCGTTCAATACAGGGCCTCCAGCATTTACAAAGTGTATGGATTCCTCTAGAAACAAATTCTTGTGGTTCTCTGCACAACCACTCATGCACCGCCTGCTGTATCTCTTCATCAGAACGGAACTGCTTTCCTCCCATTGCCTCTTTGAGTGGCCCAAACATGTGGTAATCACTTGGGGCTAGGTCTGGTGAGTATGGAGGATGTGGAAGACACTCAAAGTGCAAGTCTTGGATTGTTGCAGCTGCTGCACGGGCAGTATGGGGCTGAGCATTGCCACGTTGCAAAAGGACATCTCTAGTCAGAAGTCCACGTCGCTTTGATGTGACTGCAGGTCAAAGATGATTCTTCAAGAGATCTGAATATGAGGCACTGATGATAGTGTTCCCCCGAGGCGTGTAGTGCTCCAGGAGTACGCCTCGTTCGTCCGAAAAGAGTCAGCATAATCTTCCCTGCAGATAGCTGCGTCTGGAACTTCTTGGGTTTTGGTGATGAGGAATGATCCCATTCCTTGCGTGTTCTCTTTGTTTCCGGTTGGTGGTAGTGCACCCAAGTTTCATCACCAGTTACGATTCTCGAAAGGAAGCCATCACCTTCTGCTTGAAGGTGCCGCAGAAGTTCTTCATAGGCGTCAGTACGTCGTTTCAATCCTGGAGTCAGCTGCCATGGTGCTCACCTTGCAGACACTATGTGAAACTGGAGCACATCATGAATGACATGGCGTGCTGATCTGTGACTCATGTTAAGAATTTCGGCTATTTCATCCACCGACACTCGGCGATTCTCCATCACTAGGGCTTACTGCCACCTATAGAATACTCTTTATAGCACTGGTAACATGTCTGCCAACTTATAGGAGAATGGCGCGATATTTTGAATTTTTATCTCAGTTTTACGGTTTTCATTTGACTCACCTATGTACCTCTTAAAGTTGGCTCTATGCTTAATTAACCACCATGTCATGAAGGCATATGAGGAGTGGACATGTGTCAGTATCNGATGTGCTGCTGTTCTGTGAGCAAGACTAATTGGGGGTCGGTACACGTGAATTAGCAGTGGTGATAGTGTGCAAGTCTCTATTTAAGTGAGAACATTTCATGAGATGAAAAGTGTGTGTTAAGTTGTGTAAATGACTCGCGCATTCTGCACAGACCTTGAGTCATGTCCCAAGAAAGGCCCATGTAAATAGGGTCTAAGAGGTGAATGTGAGGGGAAACAATAATATAGTGGGGGTAACTGTCAGTATACAGGCAGTATAATTCCTGTATGTGAAAGTGCAGTATAACCATTACAAGATGATTTGCTATACACCAAGCCAGTAACACACTGACCTGCTTCACTTCTGTATCTATCATCCTACCAAGGGAACTCATTCATCCGTGCAACTCCACCCAAAATAATGGAATATCTTGCTTCAATCTAAAGCAAAATAGAATAGTCTGGGCTGACCCTACAGGGTGACATGATGTAGTCAGGACATGCATTTCCACAAAGAAAAGAAAATGTTTTGAATATTTTCTTTATTATTTCCTGTGCATGTACTGACAGCTACCCTTCTGTGATGTACTGACACTTGGACATGAAGGCTGTTACTGTCTCTCTCTTCTTTTTCCCATTGATGCTCCTAATGTCAGGATACAAATGCTGTCGTCAGGAATATTGATATGACTCCAAGAACAGAAATTAGCGTCTAAGCCACACTGCCAAACATGTTTATGTAAGTAAAATTTGAGGTTTTCACGCTGGTTGCTACGAAGAATGCCATCTGTGGCACCGTGTAGATCTTATGTGAACCGACATTCGTCCAAAATGTCGGTTCACACAAGATCTACATGGTACCACATCCCAGAACATGGCATTATTCATGTTTATGTAACGCCTGAAAGAGAAGAAAAATGCTTATTACAGAAAAATTCTGAAAAGCCCTCTCTTTGAAACTGATGGATGTTGACATTAACATAATTAGACTGATGGTACATAAGAAAATGCTTTCTAAAATGGTAACTCATTATAGATCTTGACTGCCACAGTATATTAGATGATGCAGTTAAATGTATCAATTTCAGTAGTGTATTATTCATACCAGCTTTCACAACACTTTGAAAACTAGTGTCTGTAATGGTGATAATCATAACCTTAAACAGGGGTGGATGGTGCGCACATGCAGCCTGTTAACTGGGTCCTGAACAAAACCTTTGAACTCGAAAAGTGGAATGAATTGGTGCAGTCATTTTTAGTTACTTTTCACTTGACAAGCCATGACTACTGAGTGCTTCTGGTTGCAGGGTCATGAACTGGCTGTCAGTTTAGGCAAGAGCAAGATCCAGACAACAGTGATAGCAGACTCTGCAATATTTGCAATTATGTCTCGAGTCAACAAAGTCATCATAGGCACACATACAGTCATGGCCAGTGGTGGACTACGAGCAGTATGTGGAAGTCACATTGTTGCCTTGGCTGCTAAACATTATTCTGTTCCTGTAAGAGAATCAAAGTTAATATTTATTTTTCTGAGAAAGGGGATTGAAATCCCCTGTAATATGGGGCTGGTGGCCACATTTTAACTAGTAATGGTATCAGCATTATAAATGTTTATGTCTTTGTCGCTTTGCCTTTTAAACTATTGTACTGTAGAGTATTTCAAAGAATATGCATTGGCAGCTTTTAGTGTGTTAATGTTTACTGCCATAAAAACGGTCTGCAAAAACAGAAACCTGAGTGAAACAAAATATTGTGTATATAAATCCATTTACATATCTGCTGCATTTCTGGAAATGTTCCCCCTTCTCCCATTGTGATGGAACTCTTAATTTAGAGGTTCATGGTAAATATGAAAACACAGTCCACCTCTGCAATTTTGCAAATTGTTTGTTCTTGGTTGAAACACTGCAAGCACAGTTGCGCACATGTCCAGTGATTGATCATTAAGTCTCACCTCAGGCCATTTGACTGGCTTCGTGGTATAGAGTCTTCCTCTTGGAATGAATGGAGGATGAAGTTCTGTTCTAAGGTCAAAGAGATTTTGAACCAAAGTCACATAAAATTTTCAGTGGTTTCATTTGCCATTGCAGGATAATAATATAATGTAGCCATGTGTTTATTCATTTATAGTTTATTTAGTGATGTGTCCAGTAGCTCAGGCTGTACAGCATCAAGTAATATGATTCATGGAAGGAAATGGCAGTGGCCTAAATTGAGGTACTACTATCCCAGCATGTGCTCTGGACGGACTCAGAAAAGCCATGAAAATCTTCAGTTTGGGTAGTTAATTTCTGAACAAAGATTTTTACCTGGAACCTCGTGAATATGAAGCAGGAGTGCTACCCACGCAACTGTAACATTTTGTTATGTAGCTCTTCAGTATCGTTAGATCCAGTTGAGGGGGGGGTGTGTTGTCCAATTCCATGTTCCCCATCCAGTTGAGTGGCCAATAGCCATTTTGCCCTTTGTCTGAAGCAGTGACCAGTTTCTGCGCTTTCTCATGCTCATCACAGAATTTGCCTTCGGATTTATGCATATTCGTCACTATGAACACGTCTTGCTGTAGAGGTACCTCTAAATCTAACATGTATGTATATGCCAGTTTTATTTTAATCCTGTGGAAGTCCTGTGGTGTCCCTTTACTGTTTAGTTTTTGTTGATAGTTCCAGATGTATCTAGAACAGAGAGAAAATTGTCTGTATAAAGTTTGTATGGCCTACCCCTTCTGCTCTCCTTGAGAGTCTTTTCTCTATGTAATGTATAGCTGTCATCAACTGTGCTGCACTTTATGTGTCTTTTTTCAAGTATACACCCATGTCATACGTATAGTAATTTCACCATCACTCCTTTCCCTTTACAAATAGTGGAATTTAATTTATTCCAGTATCACCTTGCCAGCATGTACCCACCCATATGCACTTCAGGTGTGATTAAAACTTTTATTTTTTGTCCTCCTAACTCATTGTAGATTGCTATTTCAAATTATAATACCTTGAGCTGTGTGAGTGGCGTATTGACAGAATGATCACATGGGCAGGACATTACTGCAATGTGATCCTTTCATGGTAAGAATAACTATGTTATGGTTGATATTTATAAATAACCCAAAACACGAGAGCATAATGGAAGTCTGTTTAGAGCAGTGGAAAAAAATTATGGTGTCATGGCTGCTACAGACTGGTTCAAAATAAAGAAGTACACTGTGGCTGCATTTTATGCAAATTTCAATTATGTAAATTTGAAATATATGTAATATAATATAAAAATATTAATACAAATCTCACATTATGTTCAAAGTTTGAAATAATGTAAACCCAAAATATTTGGCAGGAATCACATACATGTTTCAAAACCTGACTTCAAATATGTAAGGTCTTCAGGAATGCGTCCTTGCATAGAATGTGACTACACTGTACTTTAGCAACACAGTATTGTCGCACACGACCAGTATATGTTAAAACCCACTGATCGGTGACATGCATAGTTCTTCTTTCACCTGCCATCATGAAATTTCTGTCTCATTTCTAGTTTGTATAGTCATCACCTTCATGGATGGGACAGATCTCTTATTCTAGCTAATTACTGTGCCCTCTGAGCATGTTCCTCCTTTCTTCTCATCTACTTAAAGAAATTTGTTTTCAGATGCTAGGAGAGATCCTTCTTTATATATGACTTAATGTTAAGTTAATTTGTTCATATCTATACCAGTGGGATCTCTTTGAACAGTTTCATCTTCTATTTCTTCTTGCCTCATTTATTAATCATTTCATGATTGGGATTTTCCTACACATCTGTCAGATTTTTGCAATATATTACAAAACCAAAAGCATATATTCAAAAGTGAAGGAATCTTAAAACAATTCTTGCATGTATTTAGTATAAATTGATGATGGTTTCCTATAAAATGCCTAAAAGCAGGAACAGTATGCAGTGAAATTTGAAGCTCCAAATCACAATTTTTGTTTTTAGAAACTGAACACTCTATGTTGATGACAACTTCAAATATAGCTAACACAAAAAAATTGCAACTATAATTACCTCTTCAATTCATGCCAGAGGAAAGGCATGGAAAACTTTTGAAATCCAACCAGTGCCCATCAGAGTTAGCTGTATGAAAGGGTTAGGGTTGTATTAGATTCCATTTCGTGTTTCATACATTTTTCTTCCTTTTAAGAGATAGATACCTCCATTATGGCATAATTTATGTTAGTGAATTCTGTGACGTATGATAAGTTATTTTGTTCCACAGGTTATTGTGTTAGCACCAATGTACAAACTGAGCCCACAGTTTTTGTGTTCATATGACCAGGATGCATTCAATAGCTTCGTATCTCCTGAAGGAGTTCTCAAGTACTCAGATGGTGCAATTCTGTCCAAGGTTCATGTGTACAACCCAGTGTTCGACTATGTTCCCCCAGAACTTGTCACATTGTTCATCTCCAACACGTAAGTTCCCTCTTCTATTTGCATTAATTTTCAGTGCAGACAGTGCACAGTGAGTGTAGGATTTATTGACAGCAGAGCAACACTCGAGGTAGGTGCTGCCAATTAACATTCCATCATCACTCCACATGGATTAGTCACTATCTTAGGCTCCTGACTAGTCAGTATAATTACTCTCAGTTGGAGCACATGGCTTGGCTCAGAGTAAGAAAGTTTGGCTCTATTAAGATGAGTGTCTGAAGAGTTCTGTGTCACCTGTTAGTCATCGTGAACTGCTCTGCATATGGGTATATTTTTAAAATTGAATGTTCTTTTCCAGTGGAGGACATGCACCCTCATACGTATACCGGTTGCTGAGTGAGCTGTATCATCCAGAGGACAATGACTTGTAATTATTTTTTTATTGTAAAAGAGAAAGGTATAATAAATCTGTGTGCTTCAGATGTGTGTTTCTTCTAGGGCATAATACCACAGCAGAGTTGAGCTCTAGTTAGAATCTGGACTTTCATCTATATGTATTAAAGCTGCTAACTATGATCTTGGTGAATGCGGAGAATAGGCTATAGCAGGGTTGACATCCTGCCCCTTTGTTCAGGATGCAGACTTTTCTGTGCACATATCAGAGTCTAGATCTTATGACTGTTGTTAATTTTGGAGACTGTCAAGCCTCTTAAGTTGTGGGTCTCTCCCAGGCAGGCACAGGCCAAGAAGTATTTTCCAGACAATTACTCCATACTTTTTAACCAAAGTTCAGGAGTAACAGTATAATTGAATCCCCATATAGTGAAATTTGGGTGGGAGAAAAGATATTATAGCAAGTGTCACATAACTTCGAACAAGGCCAAGAGTAACCTTGAATGCACAGAAGAAAAATTTCAGACAAGAGGGTGGAGGGTGTGAGAAGTGACAGGCGGCCATTGGAAGAAGGAGTGTTAAGAAACTCCTCCCACCACACGCTATGCTCGGGATTTGACTAGGAATGCGGGGCCTTGTTCAAAGTTATGTGACACTGTCTATAACTATGTAAGTGGATAACAGTAAAATCAAATATATATTTTTAAGAACTGAAGCCACTATCCAATATTCGCCTGGACAGAACAGGAAAAACAAAAAAGTTGAGTCAGGAGAGCTGGTAATCCAGGGAATATTCAAGTCAGGTACCTACCACATAAAAGCAACTGTATCAACCAATTCAATAAAGAAGTAGGATAAGTAACTTTAAAATGTATCTCACAAAACTAGGTTCTGAAAATGGTGCCTAATTCTTCAGGGTTTAACTGAGTATGCGTCCACATCCTCACCCCACTCCAACCCTGAAACACTGGTATCTATCATGAAGGCTACACTGTCTCACAACCCAGGAGACCACAAACTGAATATGCACTGCTATGAAAACTTAAAATTCTATAAAAGAAATGTTTACAGTTTTAGTACTGTTACTCCGGAGCATGAAGCTGACCACTCGCCTCCAACTAGTACCAAGGTCAAGAAAATTGTGGATCCACTCCCCCTATGCCTTCATGGCATAGTGCACAGGGATGTTACCTTTTCATTTACTGCTGTTACTACTTTGTATTAAAACTCATTCAAATTTTGAATTATCCATGTTAAGACAGCACATGAAATTGTGTCTTTGCAGATTGGGGTTGATATGCACATACTCTAAATTATAAACAATTTTTAAGTATCCAGTACAGAATTAATAACTTGTAGGATTTAAAGGTCTCATGTCTGGAAGGGGGTCCACTCAGCCTCGTGAGGATAACTGAGGAGCTATTTCAAGGAATTAACGGCTGTGGGGATTCATTGCGCTGACCACGTGGCGCCCTGTATCCGATAAATTTGGCACTAACTTCGCCGACAAGCGGTGGTTGCATGGTCGGTATAGTGTGCTTGCGGACTAAAACCATGGAGTTCGTTTGTTCATAGCATTGATTATGAACAGTACTGTCTTCTGGGATATAGTGCCATGTAGTCCACTGAAAGTTAACTGACATTTTGGAGGAACGTTGCCTCTGCTTGCTGCCTGCTTCATGCTGGTTTCTTGCTTGGCTCACTCTTCACTCATGAAAATGGAGGCGATGTGCTCCTCTGAAACGTTGGTTGATATTCAGTGTAATATATGCCATTATATCACAGAAGATAGAACACTTCAAATTAAATGTTTCACTGTTTGAGATATATGGCAAGATGTTCTATTCTGTGTTGCCATCATAACTCAGGCACCACATCCATGTGGAAAAGCGTTATTTTTTTGTGGGAAAAATTTGCCAGAATTCAAGAGCCACTAAGGGAAGAAGAGAGATTTTATCCAACATAAAAGTCGTAATAACAGACCTTGTATTCAGTGTAACATGATACATTCTAAGTTCTGGACAGAGAACTGAACAGTACCATCATCTGGGGTGTGCTGTGTTGTCTGGTGAAGTTCACTGTTTCAGAGGCACACGGTGCCTCCATCTTAAGCCATGCAAGAAGCAGGTGACAAGGCATGTTACTTCACAATGATGTGGCAGTACAGGAAACTTAAGATAGTAAACAGACATGAAAATTCAGTTGTCTAAAGTGTTGTCTGATGTACAGAACATTCTATTGAATTTTTACTGTTCTCTTCATTAAGGGTTTGATCATCACTATACTCACATCTGTCAGTAAATTAATTATCTCTGAAGGCAGACATACAAATTACACCTGCAATACTTTGAATATATTTTATTATGCCAACCACCATACTGTTGAGAACACTGTTAGTACTGAAAGCATATTGGGCACAGCATTGTCAGTATGGTGGCAGTTGCTTGAAAAAACAAGATCAAACTTCCAAGTGTTAAACATTCATGTAACCATTAGCTTATTAGTTAATTTAGCAGTTGCATTTCTAGAGTCCTGCTTGCTTCACTCCAATATATGATGGAGCCAGGTAGTAGAAAAACACAGATACTTAATAAGTTTTTGTTTTTCAGCCAGGCTGTGTTATTGTAATTTTTTTTTGTTGAAAAACTTCAAGGAGATCTATATATATAAATGAGAAGATGTATGGTCCAGAGAAATTGGTAGTAAGGAAGTGAAGACATCTGTGATCATGATGATTAGCCTCAACAGTTACATATTTCTTGGCCAGCTAAATGATTACCTAATGCTCGTGTGCCACCAAGTTAGTTTATGCCAGACATGATCAGTTACGGTTATAACTGTACAGGAGCCCTCACACAGTTAGTACTTATTGTCAGTATTCAGTCATGTGGCCTGTTGGGCAGTGAATGCTCAAAATGGACAGTAAGGAGAATGCATATGTTTTGCTTATATTAGGATTTACAAGGACAAGCTGGAAGTGGTGGGTGAAAGACAATTGCATTCTGTGACATAATTAACCACAATAATTTTAAACAATCAACACACTTTAATTTAATTTTAATGCAAAATATTTTAATCAACTGACACCCTCCACCTCCACCACAAAAATAAATAGCTCTGTCAAAATAACTGCATAACTATGAGTATTAACACCCATCTACCTCATTTTTAAATGTACGAGGGGAGACCCAAAAATAACCGGAACCGACCTGTTGTGCGCGCATGCTTTGTAGTTACGAGTTGTGCTGCTAGGTGGTGTTAGCTGGGGGTCTCCCGCGACTGTTAGTGAGCTGGCGTCAGTCTGAGTTAAGTGGTTTGTCTGTCTTCCTCTGTTTTGTGCGTTCCTGTTTCAACCCTTTGGCGATTAGTGAGATGGCCGACCAGAAGGAACAAAGAGTGTGCGTGAAATTTTGCTTTCTGTTAGGGAAAACTGCACTTCACTCTTCAAGTCGCGGCAAACATTCACGCGGTTTTCTCTTTGGTCATCTCCGAGCAAGCGAGGAACAAATTTTGCAGACACCCGTCTCATGTGCAAACCTTCGGTTAAAATTCGCTGGACCGTGCTCCATGAGATGTTCGTTTCCTCAGAAAGTTGGTCAATGGTCTTTCGACGATCTTCATCAATTGCACGTTTGATTTTGGCAATGTTTTCGTCATTTCTTCCTGTTGAAGGACGCCCGGGGCGTGGCATGTCTTCTGTTGACATGTTGCCAGATTTGAAACGGGAAAACCACTCGTAGACCTGTGATTTCCCCAAAGCATCATCATTAAAGGCTTGCCGAAGCATCCCAACAGTCTCGGCTGCAGTTTTCCCTAACAGAAAGCAAAATTTCACGCACACTCTTTGTTCCTTCTGGTCGGCCATCTCACTAATCGCCAAAGGGTTGAAACAGGAACGCACACAACAGAGCACCACAGACAAACCACTTAACTCAGACTGACGCCAGCTCACTAACAGTCGCGGGAGACCCCCAGCTAACACCACCTAGCAGCACAACTCGTAACTACAAAGCATGCGCACGCAACAGGTCGGTTCCGGTTATTTTTGGGTCCCCCTTCGTAAACATTGGCCAGTGTACAGAAATCCCAGCTAAGTTGAAAAATGAATGTGGTATCAGCCTCATGATGGTCAATTAGGCCAAAATATATAGTAAAATAAAAATAAAATGCAAGTCATATAATCAGTTGATTGTATATTATGCTACTACCTACCACATTTTTTACTGACAGTATTTGAATATTGACAATAATACTGATCACTTGAGGGTCTCATCCAGCTTCCCAAGAAAGTCCTTGTCAAGCTTCATGCCAATAAACTGCAGGCCCTCAACCACCTGTGGTTCCAACTCCTGTTTAAGGGAATGGCAACTGCACTTAAACAAGGTACACATACAGTAATTTCTGGCATACTAAACCTAAATGGTTAAAAATGTAAAGTATAAAATAAGCGCACAGCCCTCATAGAAACTGTTCACTAAAGTGGATATAACTGATAGAGGGACAGCTCATATTCTGGTCAGATCTGAATCTCAGCTGGCATGCTGGATATCATAATGTTTTGAGAGTTTCTTCAGTCCTTTTGAAATGGGCAGTAGCCAGATAACATCTGCAGTTATTAGAGCATTGTTAAATTATACACCAACCTTGAAAATAAATTTCAGTTATGCAGAGGGTTCTAAGATCATTCATAACAAAACTCTCTACATAATAGAGGTTAAATTAATTCATTTATTTAAGACCGCCACTGCTGCTGCATTAGCTGGGATAGCATAGTCAGTATAGCAACTGGCTACAGGCTGGTTCGAGTCCTGGTACAGTCAAGAATATTTTCTTCTCCATGTCCTCCAGACGAGCCCTGGGGTCTACCCAATCTCCTATCCAATGGGTACTAGGGGCTCTTTCCCCAGAGGTAAAGCAGCTGGGGGGGGGGTTGAAGCTGACCACTCCCCTCCAGCTAGTGCCGAGGTCAATAAAATGTGGCTCTATACATCCACTCCCCCATACACCTTCATGGCATAGTGCTTAAGTAGTTAACACAGGGACGACTTTACTTTTACTGCTGCTGTATGGGCTAGCTTAAAATGTGT